AAAGAGAGGTTTGCTACCTAGGCAGCAGATACAGAGATCCTCAAGAAACCTGTACAGTGGAGAAAACAACTCAGACTGAATTTGGCATTACATTTCCACAGGGAAAAACAAACAAGAAAAAAAACAACAAACAAACCACAGATTTAAAAGTTTGTACCATTTCAAAACTCATTCTAGGGTTCAACTACTACAGCTATTGTTTTGGGATGTTTGCAAACATCCCTAGTCTGCTTACCTCAGGCCAGCTTTTTAAGGTTGATATTTCCATTCCCAAAAAGCCTAGAGCCATTTTTAAGAACAAAGCTCAACTGCTGGAACAGTTTCATATAGGAAGGGTCTTCCAAAGATAACTTTTCCAGCAACAGGATCTTGGTAATACAATTGTAGAAGTAACTTCAGACAGCACAGAAAACTGAAGCTCACTGACAAAAAAAGCCACATTCTTCAGCTCACTGTTGTCTTGATTTCCTTATGACCAGAATCATGTTTCTTGATTTAAAAATAGGCAAGTCACATATAAAATACCCTCCCTGCGCCAAAGATGCCTTTAAGAAATCTGGAGATCAGGAAGCTAATGTGAGAAATCTCTGGGCTTAAACTTTCCTGTTAGAGACATGCATGCCCAAAGGCAACAGTCAGAAGTTACTGAAAACAGCCCTGGGGTGTTTTTTGTCTCCTTCCTCAACATTTAAATAAATTCTTAAAAGAAATCCAAGTTCCCAATTTTTTCCTGATAATAACATGGGGTCTGCACTCTCTGCAGCATCAAACTTCAGAACAGGAAACTAAAATGAGGTTTGTAACAAGACCCCACTACAGTTTTTTCATTGTTCCCTGAAGCCTTCTACACTGATAGCAGGTTGAATGAGAATAAACAGTTCTCCCTGGAATGGATTTTAAATTAATCACTTCACACCATTAAATGCAACTTGAGAAACATGCTGCTAGTTCTTTCCTCATCTCAGTCTCATAAATTCAGATCTATTATTCTCCATAACAGCCTGTGGTTTCAGCTCACATTGGGCTTTAAATACTGAACTTGCAATAAAAGCCAGTTATATCTGATCAAGGGAATTTATGACAACCAAGTTGACACTTCTGTTGCAGTGAGGTACATTGTTATGTGTATTGCAGCCTTCACCAAAACACACTGCACAGATGCTAAAGCATTCAACATGGTACAATTGTCTCCAAAACTAGTGTCCTGGTTTTTAGCTGGAACAGAGCTGGGTTTCTTTTTCAGTAGTTAGAATAGTGCTGCATTTTGCCTTTCAGCCTGGGACTTGTTATGAGAGAGACACTGATAACACACCAGTGTTGGCATTTTTCTCGCTGGAAGTGAAGGGCTTTGTGTTCTGTTAGTCCACACGCACAAGATCTAAGGGGGTGAGGAATATTTAAATCAATAAGCTAAATTGGCATTTGGATATGCCAATGGAATATTCCATATCATATCACTCATATATCATTCTATATCACATCATGTCTAGTATATTAGAGAGAGGCTCTTCCTCTTTTAGCTCTCTCTGACTTTTGCTCAGGCTCTCGCTCTTCCAGGATCGCGGTTTCGGTTCGGGATTGTCGCTCCTCCGGGATCGTTATCTGGGAACGGGCCGGGCTTGGTCGGTGGGTGGTGAGCAGTTGCACTGGGTATCACTCATTTGTATATTTTGTTACTATTATCATTATCACTACTATTTCAATGTTAGTATTATTTTAAGTTTTCTTTTATTTCTATTATTAAATTGTTCTTATCTCAACCTACAAGCCTCCTTACCCTTGCCCCCCGATCCTCTCCCCTATGCCCTGGGGGGGGGGAAGTAGGTGAATGGCTGTGTTGGCTGCTGGCCAAGAGCTGGCCCAGTGAAACTATCACAACTAGGCACTAACAATCAAAACCCAGTTGTAAAAGCTGTTTAGTTCTTAACTAGAGGCAGAAGTACTATGACAGGAGTGCTACACTATGTTTTCATTCAGTCTCAAGCAAATACCTTAAAGGTAAGCTAGAAGGAGAAACATTTGCTACCTTCCTCCCTCCCCACTTCATGAGGAAACACCTTTGCTTTTACAGGAAATTATGTAAGCCCCTCCATGGCTCTCTGTGAAATATCAGATTTAAATAAGAAGCATTCATTGGTGATACTACTGTGCCATCTAACAAGATGCAGAAACGTGTTTTTGAAGTGCAAATAAAACTAATTTCTCTGAAGTTTTGCATAATTTCAGCCATTAGCATTTCAAAAATCCTTCTACCACACTGCCTAATTAAATGAATATTAAACCTTTCCTCATTCCACTGAGGGAGTAGAACAAAACAAAGGGACAGCTGTATCTCTGCTGAGCTTCTTTTCTGTAAAGTAACTTCAACAACACATGAATAATTCAAGTATTTTTTATATTTTCTACAATGACGTCAGCTCTGTACTTAAAAAGATATTCATGGTCTCCACAATCTATCTATATGCCTGTCTTTACAAAGAGACATTTTTCTAAGCATCTTTTTCTTGTAAGGCACTTAAGGCCTAAGAGCATCAGCCGTTGCTAGAATCATAAAAAATAAGACTGGCATATTCCATTTCCTAATACAAGTCTAGATAGTCCAGAAAGATGAGCATTGTAGTCAGACAGCTGCCTTAACATTTAAATAAAATAGCCTGTTTCTTTTACGGTTTTGTTTTCCTCTGTTGGTTGCAGTTTCTTTGCTTGGATGATAAAGGGGAAAAAAAAAATGGGGAGAGGGACAAACACCTCCCAGAGAAAGAAGGGGAGGATAAGGTGACTTTTTGTTTTTCCCCAAAGCAAGGCCAAATGGCATTTTGTTCTAAGGACAGATCAAGAACTTGACACTAACTCTGCTTTTTCTAGTTCACTCGTATTTCTTCACACACAAAATTCTTAAATAAAGATTTTCAAAAACAGAATATGTGAGAAATAACTAAAGTTGAAAGAAAATCTACCCAAGTCCTACATAGCTGCCACAGAACAGCTCCTCCATTTAAAAATTACTTCTAGATGAAATGTTCAGAACATGAAACACAGACACTTCACTCATACCACACATTCCTCCTCCCCTATTTGTTCCTGCCTAAGTGACTTGTATTTTTATGTGTCTGATTACTCCATTTTTATGTTCTAAAAGGAAAGAAAAAAATAAAGATAAGGAGATATCATGTACATAAATAGCATATTAGCAGAATTATTTAGTCACAGAAAGTGATTCGCCTCATCTGACACTAAGTTAGACATCAAATCTCAGATAGTTGTCTTCTCCTATAAAGAGCTTCTCAGAAGCTACGGTGGGCAGGATGTGTCGTATGAAGTTCTATGAAAACCAAATTCAGCATGAAGAAGATAATTCACCCCACTTATTAGACAGCTAAGGATACAATGAATCACACTCTGGAGATAACCATCTCTCCTCCAACTGACTACAGAAGAAGTCTAGATGCCTAGGCTTTATATACTCAATTCCATCCTGCTCAGGACAGGGTCACAGTTTTGTACTTTTTTTGACAGTGCACTACCACCTACTGAAGGGAGAGGTTTTGATCATTTTACTGTGGGGGACAGGGGGAACAAAATCCACCAAATTCATTGGGATTATGGAAAGGAAAGCATAATTATACATGGATGTTCCTTCTTACCCTCCTATCCCACCTAGCATCCTCTCTGTCCATTCTCACCCAGGGTGGCTGGGTACATACATGCATCTGTACAGCTGAGCCAGTAAATATAATCAGAGGTTTCTAGGAGAGACCCTTTTTAGAAACAGGATTTCTTAGGAGTTTCCATTTTAAAAAGAATTGATCTTCCTAATTTTAAAAGAATTAAATTTGCAAAAAATACAAAATTTCTCTGGAAAAACCTGGATTATGTATCACACACCGTTTCAGGAAGATCCAGCTCTACATAAGAAAAGCAAGGGTAACTGAAAGTTTACCTCACAAAGGGGTAGTGCCCTCAATCTTAACCATCACTGCTTCCTAACAGGCAGCTTTATCTGGCTTCAATGATATTATTTCCTTGGGAAGAATACTTTACTGCTTAAACAAAAAAATGTATTTTTAAGAAATTAGGAGTATTGATAAAAATTTAACTTCTCTAAGCTAAACTTTGCTCAAACAGGGGAACAGTTGGTGGTTGCTAAATATGAACTTAAACAGCAACACTTCCATAGGAAAAGAATTGCTTTGTTGTTTAATCTCTTCCACTTCTACAAACTATTAAAGATAATCCTGAAAAACCACTTTTCTGGAAAGTATTTCTAAAGGATGGACAGAAACTTGTTCAAAGTTTGCAAAGTTACCAAGAGAGAGAGCAGAGCCTTACTTCTTATTCTGATACTCCCAGATAAGGAAAACAAAACAAGAATGATAGTTGATGGTTTTTACCAGACTGTCACAAAACTTACCCAAGGAAGCCCATGAAGGTGCCTGCCAAATGTCATTGAGTTGCCAGTACAGAGCTCCCATTGTATGTCCTTCTCCTTTGATTATTTCACTTTGACTAAAACGATAGAATTCAGTTTCTGTCTTTATACACTGAGCCTGCATCACCTTGGTAAACAAATACATTAAAAAAAAGGGAAAAAAAAGGTGTGTTGTACTTTACTTTCAATGCATGTGTGTATATATTAACATACAACACAGATTTCACAGCAAGGGCACATAACTTTAAACATGATTCTTCAAGAGTATACACTTGCAGTGCAGTAGGCCTCTGCTTGAATTGAGAGCTATTCTTAGCAGCTCCCAGCAGCTTTACAAGCAGTATCTTTGGAGAAACACTGGAGGGGCTACTTCCAGACTTCCCTCCAGTAAAGATCACTGGGCAACAGATTCTTTGAAAGGAAAATGGAAGACAAAGGAAAGAAAAATTAATTTAAAACAAATATTTTTAAAAAATAATGTAAATAAACTGCAAAATCATGTAAATGAGCTGCAAAATCTTGTTATGCTGCACTAGCTCCAGTATACATTACCATGATGACCACATCCCTGTAGTCTGAACATATAACACACATTGCTAGAATATAGTCAAAATTGTGCACTGAAAGAGCAAGCTTTTCTCACCTGCACTCCCACTTCTCTCCTTCCCCACCTTGACTTTAAATACTTTTCAGAATTTTTCACTGGCCAAGTTCTCAATAGAAGCCAAACAGCCTGTTATTTCCTTCATAAAGTGCATTACTAGGCTGGGGAGGAATTAAAAGAACATCTCAAAATATAAAGGAAAAAGTTGTTCTTTAGCTCAAAAGGTAAAGACAACATTTCTAGTTAACCAAGTTTACTATCCTGATCCTTTTTGATATCCTCATTTTGGTATTCTTAAACTGTTTCACCTCTTAATAAGGCCCCGACAGACTTAACCCAGCAGAAATTCTAATAGCTCGAGTCAGGACCTCACTGAGCAAATTTTACCCCTGTTTTCAGTTTCATAGCATAATCTATCCCTGTTCTCTTGTCATCAGTGTCTGAAGTTCTCCAGATGTTTTGTTTTTACATAAAACTTGCTGACAGAAGCTCTCAAACATTAAAAACTTAGTGAACATGCAGCTGTTCCCATCAATAGTGTTTCTTAAATTCTTGGAACACAGCAAAAAGTAACAGCACTTTAAACTTGCCTAATAGCATTTAAAAAATCACTTAACATCACTTAAAAGTCACACAGAAATCACAAAGAAAGCAAGAATGAGGTAAACTACTACAGATGAAGAGCAAAATATAACCTACTGATTTAAAAAAAAAATTCTCTAAAATAACAATATCTGAGTCCATAACAAAATAAAAGCTACTAATAATCACATCCATAGAGAACTGCATTATCTAGAAACAATCTTGTTTCAAAAGCTGGTGTACTCCTTGTGGCAAAAAACATAGCAGTAAGACTAAAGGGGCCACATGAAGAGCAAAACCCACCCACCCTGGGACAGCATAGCACTAGGAATAATCATGTTATGCAGGAAGGCCAGCACATCCCTACCTCCCCAGCCAGCTTCACGAGTGGGCCCAGCTGGGGACCAGGACCAAGGTAGCACACACAGCCAGATCTTCTCCCAGTTGAGCTAGTTCCTGAGAAATTCCCCAAGAAGTATTTCCAGCCCTGCTATGATGAAAATTGGAATCTCTCTGCAATAAAGACAGACAGGCTAGTTCCACATGAAACTGGACTCTCCAATGCTTCAATGCAGAAACTTTCTGTATGACTGAACATCTCCCAATAGAGTAGGCCCAGCTTTAACTGCTGAAAGTATCTAATAGAACAAGTACTGACAGCTACTTATGTTGAAGACATCGCTGTTACCTGAGTGAGGTAAATTGTATCTTTGAACTTCTTTATGGGATCTGTGCTCTGGGGAAGCTTGAAATGATACCCAATCTGTTGAAGCATCTGATCATTGCCATTTTCATGGTGTTGTCGATGGAGAGAAAAATTGCTTGTATAGGACCAGTCCTCAGTGGAGGAAACCTTTTAAAATACACAAAAGAAAGAGATCAGAAGTACAAGGCAAAATGTGCATTTAATGACTAACAGGATATTCAGGAGAGGATATCCATTACAGCCTGCTGACATCATCCAAAACCTTTAAAATTGGTAGTATATTTCTGTAGTGCCTCGTGCAGTCATGCAAGGATTCTGAATCAGTAACACCCTTTGCTTATATTCCTTGTAAAAAAAAAAAACCAAAACCAAAAACAACAAAAAAACAGAGCAACTTTTGGCTCAGTGGCATTTAACTTAGTTGTTCTAAGGTTCAGTCTGGCCAAGGGACCTCAGGCTTGCATTCACAGTAAATCAGAAATACCCTAGATTAAGACAGAAGAATGTACTCTAGTCAAACACATCTATGCATAAGTGACAGAATTTAGTAGGGCTATAAATTCTAATAATGTGTATATTTTCAAAACCTGCCTCCAAAAACAAATAATCATGAAACAGGTTTTTTTCAGCTAAAGACAACAATGCAGCATAGCTCATACAGTTATTATTGTCAAGCTTTCATTGTAATTATAATCTCCATAAAATCTTTTTATTAAAATTTTCTCCCTTTTAGGCTGGATTGAATAATTTTCACTGTTATTAATGTGGACAAACATACTGATTATGTCTCAGATAATATACTTTGCCCAGCAAATTGAAAGGAACATTCTGAAATCCTTTTAGTGGCATGCATGAGTATCAACATGATAATCACCTCTCTGAACCAATGGACAACAGCATGATATGACTCTGCTCCAACTGCATAAATAATATAGGATATACAATATCTAAATTTAACAGGAGACAAACCCAAAACCTTTTATATGCAACAAAAATTTAAAAAACCACAAACATTTAAGTAGAAGAAATTGGTAAAGATGATAAAAATCAATGCATTTTAGAATTCACCACAATGTGGTATCTGTCACGTTTCTTCTGTTTCTAAATGAACACGTATCCTTAGACACAGCAAAAGCAAACAGATGTTAGGCATTCATTACTAAGCTATATATTAAATAGAATTAATAGCCTCATAATAGTGTCTCATCTAAACTTGGTTCCTTTTGCAACA